CGCAATTTCCAGATATAACGGTCGTCAATTAGCTCTTAATGTTGTGCACGGTACGATGACGTAATCAAACCGTGGCGCACTGAGGAGCATATTTACTTAACGGAGAATTGTGCTGTCCAGAGCATTTTTTTCACCTAAAACATATGCCAATGCTGATAGGTGAGTTTTTTTAATCATATCTGGTTCTTGCTTCAATATCTTCAAATGCGAAACATTCCCTTTAAGGTGAATGTTCCACATTGGAGGATCTTGAGACAGGCATGAGGCATGATGAAATAAGGTCACTTGTCACTTTTGTTACACAAGTGCAAAATACTGTTGTAGACAACACAATTTCACTGTTTAGTAAATATGCTCCTGAAAACATGAGCGTTTGATTACGTCATGGACCGTTTGTATGACGCCAGAGAGAAGGCCAAACTAGTCATGCGAAATTACCACTAGCGTACGGGCTGAGCCACTTGTAATACTTCAGATCCTCGAAAGGTGCCTCGGTAAAGAGTGCGGCGTTTCCAGAACCCAAATATCGTTGTGTGCGCGTGTTTTGGCCCTCTCGTGTGTCCGTGAAGTTAGCGACTTTTTCAGCGATTTATTCAACGGCGAGTTCCGATTTCTCTGAACAGGGTGTCAAGGTCAATCATGGCACGAACACATCGAAAATGACGTTTATGTTGCAATAACATTTGACCTTCGAGGTCAAAAGCTGAATCAAAGGACGGAAACTCCATATCACCCAAAAATTATCGGCCCATTTTAAACTTGCAATCATCAGAATATTCACCAGAGAAGGAACAAGCGTCCGTCAAAAAGTCCTGACCTCTTTAGATAACCATTGAAGGTGAAACGCGTGTTTAAGGACAGGGAACTCCATATCACCGAAAAATTACCGGCCGATTTTGAACTTGCCAGCACCAGAATGCCCATCACGAAAAGAGCAATCGGTCATATAAAAGGTTGACTGATCAAGGGCACCCTTCAAGGTCAAAAGCGGGCTCAAAGGCTGGGGACTCCATATAACAAGCCCTCGCGCTTACAGATATTTTGATGCGTACAAGCTTTAAATCGGCCGATAATTTTTTGATGGTATGGAGTTCCCTGTACTTCGGGCCTGAATTGGAACCTGAAGGATAGCCTTGAGAGGTCAGGACTTTTGTAGGACACTAATTCCTTCTGTATTGAATATTCTGATGCTCGTGAGTTTAAAATGGGCCGGAAATTTCTTGGTGATATGGAGTTTCCCGTCATTTGGCCTTGCGTTAACCTTGAAGGTCACATGATATTGCAAAATAAAGACTTTCGATGTTCTTGTGCCATGGCTGACCGTGGGACCTTTTTCAGAAAAACTGGAACGTGTCGCTGAATAAATCGCTGAATGAATCGCTTACTTCACGGACATGTTTTTCGTAGTGTTTTTGGATCTAAAGCAGCTGTGTTGTATTGTTAACTGGTATTCACATGTTTGGTTACGGCGCTTAAGTAATTTGATTGCAAGTCTTTTTGCGTAATAACTGGTACCACTGTCCAACTTTCTGTATATGTAGCACAAAACCTGATTCGTGTTCGGATCTTGCATTGAACGCGTGCTATGAGTTGAGAGCCAATTGAAGTCCATTGGTTCTAGAAATCGGGCTCATGTACGCCATACACGATAACTTGAGGTTCATGTTTATCGTGGCCCCGAAGACTGCAAAGCAAATGAGGTGGCAGTATTTGAATGATGTTTCTATGACGTCATGTTTTCCTTGGTGACCTTGAAAAAGTATGCACGGAATAGTCCGTAAACTCGTTAGGTAACCTAGATTGCCTTGTAACTTGCTTTCCAACGACCACTTATGCATAAATGTGACATCCGAAGGCACATGAGCGGACTGGTACATGATTTAAGCCAAACGAGAAATAGCCTGATTATCTGCAGCACTCCTACCTCACGCCCACCCCACTCTTCGTTCAAAAGTGGCACCAAATTGTGGCTAGGACTTCGTGGTAGCTGACTGAAGCCAACACATCATTTTTTGAAGGCTGCATAGTACATCCTTTGGAAATATTTGGTCAACTCTCCGATTGAATAGATTACAGGTTAGTAAGACCCAGGCAATTTTCAAACATACTTGTACTTCCGGAAGTATATAATGCGAGGTAATAAACGAGGTCATGATCCTTGGCCGGCCTTTGACTATTGACTGCGGCACATGGCTTTAAGCTTCAAGATCTTCCCTGACATCAAGGTCAATGCCAGCCAAAATATGGGATTGGGAATAAATCGACAGAACCATGTGCGAGAGGCGTCCGCACAGTAGGCCTTAATATAGCCCGAGCTTCGTACGTAGATACCACGCTGTAAAATGACATTCCGTATGTGAACATTCACCATGAATAATGAATCACAGGATCCAACTTTACCTCCAGCTAAGCAGGGTATTGGAGGCCTTACAGCTCAGCTCGGTAAGAGCTCACCCGCCAAAGGGTTTGCGGTACGATCTGATGTCAATGGAGAGATACCATGCAGTCCCGTCACATGGACCAGGCGCCTCCCTCCCCGGTCCCGTGACTCTTGGAGCCATTTGGAGATAGCAGCATCGATCTTTTTTACCGTTGTCGTTGTAGTTGCCGGGCTCCTGTCAATGATTGCTGAAAACGAAAAATCAACAGCCTATGGTAGGAGATACTCGGTGCATGATAATCCATCTGAACTAGCCCTGAAACCGAGTAACGCCATGTCTCTCACCTGGTGCTTTATGATACACTGATAGGCTCAAACTAACCCAGCTCAACGGTAATATGTGTCAAGTAACACACTGAGAAGTTGCAGGTTAGGAGAGCTACCAAATACCGACAGGAGAAATCAACTGCATTCATGATATCGCGAATATAGAAAATAGTCCGATCGCTTTCCGCTCCTGGGCCGCCACCACGCAAGACAGCAAAGAAAAACAAGGTAGATGTATTGAATTACGCGGGCTTAATACTCATGTTGCAAAACATCTGAAATACGCCATTACATCACCTGATTCTTTTGAGCGCCATGACAGGCCGCTATGGATCAAACGGATATTGCTCGCCGCAATACCGGACAATGCTGTTTTCGGACACCTTAGATGCTAGGAGCAGAGGTGGTTTTCGGGGTCGGAGATGTCTGATTATTGGACCTGGTGGGTGTCTGGTTAGCCATTTGGCATCTAGAAATCATCGCACCGGAAAATAAGTACACGCGGTATTCTCCAAAAGGGAATGATTAAGGTAAATTAACACTTCCGTAACTTGAAATAACACGCCACAGTGCATGTAGCATATCCTGAGACGCACAATCGCTTCCGTTGTTGCTTGACTTTTTCCGGGGCTGAAAAACACCGACGCTCAGCCGGATGTGAAGCCGCCTCAGAGACAGTCCCCAACCGGCGACGCATGTCTAATAGCCCCCCCCCCCCCCCCATCCGACAGGCGCCTGGTCACCATGCACTGCTGCGCCGGAATTGAAATACAACCGGGCAACCGGCCCGAGCCCAGCCAGGCCCTGCTCACATTCCGCAACGGCATTCGCGGAAAAAACGCACTACACGCCCAGCTGGATACAAGCTTGGTTTACCCGGGCAGCACCGCAGGTTTATCCGTTTTATACAAGGGATTGGGTCCTGGCAGGGCTCAGGCCGGGCTGCGCTGCTTTGAAAGTCTGCTCAACCAAGACCCCGATGAATTGCTGGCTGGGATGTTATCGTCCTATGTTCTGTCCTGTCTTGTCATACCATCTCTAGTCCTGTCGTGTCGTGTCATCTCTGGTCCTGTGATGACGGTCCACCCCGAACGCCGGACAGGCCTCTGGCTCGCCTCCCCTGCACCGGCTCGGAGGCCCCGGAGGCCCCGGAGGCCCCGGGCGGGCCGCGGGCCGCCGTCCGTCGGACCGCGTCCGCCCTCACCCCCGCTCCCGGGCGGGGCTGTGACGTCACGACTTCCGGCCAGCCGCCACGGGGCTCACGGCTGGAACTGGGGACCATTGTGTGTCGTCTGCTTTGACGAGGCGTGTCCCGGGGCTAGGGACGTACGCGAAAAGAAACAACAATAGATCGGGAAAAGGACATTTTTGGCCCGTCTGACGCGGCTCTTCGCCAATGGCTGGGAACCGTGCTTGGTTCTGATAGCGGGCAGCCGCTTCCGACGCGTATCCGTTCTTCGCCCATGACCATATGTCGTCCTGCGGCCCAGGCATGCGACGGTGTCTCGAGGTCCTTGGCATTTGAACAATGCGGGGGTAACCGGATCACGCGCCCAGGAGAGTGCCGCCCGTTTGAAAGTTCACGCGGCCTGCGCTCTGTCAGACCCGCCGGATGCCGCGGTTCAGGCGCGCTCCGGATAAGCGAGGACGGCTGTGCTGCGCCGGACTGCGGCGGCGACTCCAGTGGCCGTCCGCTCGGGTTGCGGCCGGTGGCTACAGACGGCCGGGCGGCCGTCTGCAGGCGGCATGCTTGCAGCTGTGATACAGCTGGCCGCTGTCCATTCGTTTTGTGATAAACCCGGCGGCCGTGAAGGGCGTGGCAGCCGCGCTGAAGGCGAGAGAGAGGCTAGGCTCGACTTGGGAAAGCAGTTCCTGTCGTCACTAACTAGCAGCTGCAGGTTATGGTCCCCGCCGTCGGAAACAGGTGTGCCCCGACATGAATGCGTCATTTTGTGCCCGTTCCGCAGTTGCCCTCACAGCCGTCAAATTTCCTCGTAAAAGGCGCCGATGATTGAGATCAAATGGCCCGTGGCCAGAGTTGGTCCTGGCGCTTGTGGCGGCGCGGCCGCGGATTCGCTTCCGGGAGGAGCTATCGGTGCCCGTTCGATGGCGGCCAGGATAGGGACCGGCCGTCGTCGGTCGGTCCCCACGGCCGTCAGGTGAGCCGCGCGCCGCCAGCGCCGCTTCAAGGCCGGCGGCGTCGCCGCGCCGCGCCGCACCGCGGCGCTGACTGGGCACGTGTCCGCGGCCGGCGGACGGCGAGCGCCGTCGGACGCCAGAGCGGTGCGTTCAGTGGGCGCGGTCGGGCGACTGCCGAGGTGGCGGCTGACGCGGTGTGTGTCCGTGTGCCGCAGGCGAAGCAGCGACGCCGGCGTGCGGAGCGGGGCCCGGCCGATCGCCGCGTCCGGTGCTGAGAGCAGGTGAGCCGAGACGCCGCCTGCCGTTTTATGGTCTTGTTTGCGGCTACGCGCTGGGGCCATCGGCGCCGACCGAGGTCAGACGCCCTGGCCTGGCGGCTGCCGCCGCCGGTGCGATGATAGGAAGGGTAGAGGTGTGGGGTAAGGCTGAGAGGGCACGTAAGTAAGGCCCGGCTGCCCGAGCCCTACGTGTCCTCTCGACCCTAGGTTTCTGCCGGATTCTGCCCGCCCGACTGCTTGGCAGTGAAATGTTTCGAAATCCGTGCAGGTCGTAGGGCGTCCCCAGTTTGCGACCTTTGCTGCCATGTGTAGCTCGTAACACGGCTCCGCGCCTCTTCCTCGGACGGATTGAGATGAAATTCGCTCGAGTCATGCGTTCATCGCTTACGTGGCTCAGACCGGCGTGGGCATCTCGGCGGCTGCGACCCGCCGCCATTGGCCCGCGCTGTCACCGGCCGAGATCAGCGGACTGCGCGTGCGGTGACGTTGGCAGAGGGAGGAAGTCTGAGCGGACTGCGCGTGCGGTGACGTTGGCGGAGGGAGGAAGTCCGAGCGGACTGCGCGTGCGGTGACGTTGGCGGAGGGGGGAAGTCCGAGCGGACTGCGCGTGCGGTGACGTTGGCGGAGGGAGGAAGTCCGAGCGGACTGCGTGTGCGGTGACGTTGGCGGAGGGAGGAAGTCCGAGCGGACTGCGCGTCCGGTGACGTTGGCGGAGGGAGGAGGTCCGAGGCGGACTGCGCGTGCGGTGACGTTGGCGGAGGGAGGAAGTCCGAGCGGACTGCGCGTCCGGTGACGTTGGCGGAGGGAGGAGGTCCGAGCGGGACTGCGCGTGCGGTGACGTTGACGGAGGGAGGAAGTCCGAGCGGACTGGGCGTCCGGTGACGTTGGCGTAGGGAGGAAGTCCGAGCGGACTGCGCGTGCGGTGACGTTGGCGGAGGGAGGAAGTCTGAGCGGACTGCGCGTCCGGTGACGTTGGCGAAGGGAGGAAGCCTCGGCATGACTCCGCCACCTGCGGCCGGCCGCCCCAGCCGGGCAGAGCCTCTTGTGTGTCGACAGGACTCGTGGAACGCCCCACGCCATTGGGCCTCATCCATGCCAGCAGTGCAGTCGTCGGGCAATATTTACGTGCAGTTTCGCATTGCGTCAGGCTGGAGGAGAGTGGTGGTCCGGGGTGATTAATTCACCGGGAGCTGGGCTGATGGCTGCGGGCGCCGCGGTGGACGGAGAATGCTGGCTGACCTCGTCGAGGCGCTGATGCCTAGCCAATGCCCGATGGACCAAATGGCTGCCTTGTGTGCACGGATCTCTGACTGCGTTATCGATATGTGCTCTGCACGAAGGAGCGGTCACAGGCCCTCAGACCTGTCCGTTGCCGTTTTTCGAGAAGCAGAGGGTGCCGAGGTTGTCGCTGTTCCGCCTTTGCTGGGATGAAAAGCCGCTGGTTGGAATTGCAATTTTCTCTCTGTCTTGAAAAGTGAGATTGCAGATATTTTTGAAATACTTTGATCAATTATCCAAGATCGCACTGGCACCCGATATTAGTGCCATGTCACACAGTTATGAACGCTTCAAAGATTGTCTCGTTGACCTTGCCGCCAGTGACAACTTCAACGTGGGCTTGAGAGGAAGTGATACCCGGATTGTAATGCCAGCCACCCTAGCTGTAAGTCCTAAAACAAGAGGAAATGCCGATACTTCATTGTGTCGTGGGGACGGAAACATTGTACCCGTCCCCCTGATCGGCCGGCAGTTAGCATCGCCCTCCCCCCCCCCCCCCCCCCTCTTCCATTTCGGCTTGGCGTGCTCCGACGATACTAAAGCCATCACTAACGGCCTAGCCTGGATCGCACGTGAGCTGCTCAGCGGCGGTCAGCCCCGGCCTGCCGGACCGGCCCGCGTCCGGAGCTCTGCAGCCGTCGCGTTCTCCGCCGCCGGTCTGGGAACGGGGCAACCGCGCGGCATCCGGCGTCGCGTTCTCGCGCGGCGCCGAGGTCGCCGCCGCCGCGCCGGCGGCCGCCAGAGCGGAGCCAGGGTAAGAGCCGAGCGGCCTCCGGTGAGGGCGGGCGGCTGACAGGCGCGCCGGCGGCGTCGGCGGCGTCGGCGGCGACAGCGGCGACGGAGGCTCGGCCGGCCGCCGGGCCGCAGGCCTGCGCTCAGCCCGCGTGGCTGATACGCCGGCTGTCGTCAGCGCCGCCACGGCTCTCGGCGGCCGCCGGTGCGGGCAGAGGCGGGGGTCGGCCCCGGCCGCGGCCACTCTGTCCCGGTGCGGCGCGCCCTTGAGCCTCTCCCCTCCCCCGAAAGCGGCTGCTCGGCCTGCTGCCGGCCGGCGCGTCGCGGGGCCGTGTGCCGCATACGTCCCGGGCTGGTGTGCTGCGCGCGGGCCGCGGGCCGCGGGCCGCGCCCTGCCGGTCAGCCGGTAACGCAGGGCCGGCCGCTCGCGGACGGTCGCCGCCGCCATTGTGGCGGCGCCTCCGTAAGTGGCCAGCGATTGTTTGGGAATAGGAAGGCGAACACTTGTGGCCCGCTGCGGCGCACATGCTGCACAGCACGGAGGACAGCCACTTGTTTGGCCGTCCAGGTGGCGTGTTTACGGGACGTCAGCGTGGTGTCGACAAGTGACGCGCACGGGAGCGCGCGTGGCGGGCGGCCCGCTCTGTCCCGGCGGGCTCCGTGGACGGCTATAATGGGAAGCCGACGGCGCAGCGAAGCTTCTGACGGCGCGCTGACGGCGCAGTGAAGCTTCTGACGGCGCGCCGACGGCGCAGTGAAGCTTCTGACGGTGCGCTGACGGCGCAGTGAAGCTTCTGACGGTGCGCCGACGGCGCAGTGAAGCTTCTGACGGTGCGCTGACGGCGCAGTGAAGCTTCTGACGGTACGCCGACGGCGCAATGAAGCTTCTGACGGCGCGCCGACGGCGCAGTGAAGCTTCCGACGGTGCGCCGACGGCGCAGTGAAGCTTCTGATGGCGCGCCGACGGCGCAGTAAAGCTTCTGATGGCGCGCCGACGGCGCAGTGAAGCTTCTGACGGCGCGCCGACGGCGCAGTGAAGCTTCTGACCACGCTGTCAGTCTCAACTCCACAATCGGAGCTGGCCACAGCTGTATGTCAACAATGATTGACTTGCTTTTAACGATTTAACGATCTTGCTATCTACATTAGCAGGAGTGTCCTATGCAACACGGTGCTACGGCTGATGGTGCACTGTTTGGTCCACGGATCGTCAGAGATATCTTTGTGAAACACAACATATTGTCATGCCAGTGACATTTCGATCGTCTACAGTCTGGACATCACATGGTGCAATAATTTATGTAAGGATTCTATTTTGTTAGAAGCATTATTATTTAAACCAGGCATGGGCAGAGCTACACCACTTTCCTGAGCGGATAGTGGAAGGGAGGCGAAAATCAGGCCTTTCAGCTGCTGAGTTTTACAGTTATGTTACGTTTCTTATCTCTGCTGGTGACTTTGGATCCACATTATTGACCACTGACACCACTGGAGACGGGAGGCCAGTGCCCCCCAGCGAGACGAAGCCTCCACCTGTGGAGGCAGGCGGGGACGTTCGGCGACTCACGCCAAGCTCGGCGCCAGGTGGAGCAGTGACTTGCCGGGAGCTGCGCCGGCCGTCGCGGGGCGAGACAGCGCGGGCACCCCTGTAACCTGCTCAGCGTGCCGGGCGGCGGACTGTCAGCTCGCTCAGTCACCTGACTAGCTCGACTCCATCTGTGCCGGCCATCTCGGGGCGAGACAGCGCGGGCACCCCTGTAACCTGCTGGGCGTGCCGAGCGGTGGACTGCCAGCTCGCTCAGTCACCTGACTAGCTCGACTCCACCTGCGCCGGCCGTCGCTGGGCGAGACAGCGCGGGCATCCCTGTAACCTGTTCAGCGTGCTGGGCGGCGGACTGCCAGCTCGCTCAGTCACCTGACGGGCTCGACTCCACCTGTGCCGGCCGTCGCCGGGCGAGACAGCGCGGGCATCCCTGTAACCTGCTGGGCGTGCCGAGCGACGGACTGCCAGCTCGCTCAGTCACCTGACGAGCTCGACTCCACCTGTGCCGGCCGTCGCGGGGCGAGACAGCGCGGGCACCCCTGTAACCTGCTCGGCGTGCCGAGCGGCGGACTGCCAGCTCGCTCAGTTAGTCGCCTGGCGAGTCCGACTCCACCTGCGCCGGCCGTCGCGGGGCGAGACAGCGCGGGCACCCCTGTAACCTGCTCAGCGTGCCGAGCGGCGGACTGCCAGCTCGCTCAGTCAGTCACCTGGCGAGTCCGACTCCACCTGTGCGGACTGAGCCGCTGCCTCGCATTGTCGGCACAGATGGCTGCCAGCCGGCCGTGTAACTCACGGCGGAGCAGCGGCGCGCGGCGGAACAGGGTCCGGCCAGCTTCGGCGCGCCGTACGGGAGCGCGCCGCCGCGGCCGATGCCGACGGAGCGCGCCGGCGTGCTCCAGCGCCCCGCCGAAAGGCTTCTGTTGTGGTCTGGTCCGGTCCAAGGCCGCCGGGTTTCGGCCGGTGCCGTGTACGTATCGGAGAGATCTGCTGGGGACGCCCGTTGCGAGTCGGCCTGGCGTGCCAGGAGTCCACGATGTTAATGCTGCGTTCTGGCAGGCCGGTCAGCCGGGGGCCCCTCCGGTATGCAGCTGCTCCATTGCAGCGAGGCAGCGGCGGTGCACTGGCTGGGCTGCTTCCTCCGGACGCAGGTCTTTTTCGCTTCCTTGACCTCGTCTCTGCTCTTGTTGGGAACGGGGGCGGCGATGCGGCGCATGCAACTATGTTGACGCGTTCTGACTCAGTCTCCAGCGCGGTTGGGCTAAAGAGCGGCTGTGGTTTTTGTCCAGCGTATCGCGCCTTGGACTAAATCTGTCACCGACGTTCGGTTCACAGCGGGTTTCACCTCATAAAAGTGGTGAAGTCGAGGTCGTGACGGCTGTAGTCTCGCCACGCTGTTTTCGAGGAGCTGCAAAGCTTGGAATGCCGTTTTGCCCGTCCGGTCTCACGTCAC